TGAGAGATTTATATAGAAACCATAACATTCTCTCGTGTAGATAGGCTTTTAATTATTGTCCGTCCTGGTGCATTGCATAACTTTCTTTTACATTTACTGGTTTCCAGTGCTGCTGTGCAGAGATTCAGTGGGAGCTGATGGTGATGAACCTGGAAACCAGCTGTTTAATCCTGTTATGCCTCAAGCAAGCAAAGGATAAATCCAAGGGATTTAAAGATATTCAACCAGAAGAATTTGTAACAAACCCAAGCCAGCATAAGAGGCTTCTAACGTGTGACAAAGTTTCCACTTAGGGCTTAAAACTGTTTCAGGGATGCTCAGTAACTGCAAATGAACGCAAGATGTGTTTATTTTAGTCAGAAATGTGATTTTTTTAATATTATTTGCTAAACGTGTTAGTAATTCAGCCAAATTTAACTCTGAATACAAACATTTAATAGTTTAGGTCTTTGCCATCGCTACTCACAGGCCCTGTTCAGTTGTGGGTCTGTAAGACAATGGAGCGGTACGGCTAGGGCAGAGCAGTTGGCATCACACAACACAGTTCACTGATTGGAGAGCAGAAAAGCATCACTGCTTCTGACAAGCATAATAAAATCCAGAGTGTTGTTTGTATCGGTATTTGTACATGGATGTTGGAAGGTGCCAGCAAATAGTAGCAAGGTTGGTCGACTTCAGAACTACAACCATCCCACACTATCGCCGGTGATGGCCGCATACAGGAGTACGCATTTAAGTTTAACCCTGCCTGCCGTGGGAGAGTCTCTTGAAATCACTGACCCATGACAGTCCGAGGCTACCTGGTCTGACCCAGACCCTTCAGAAGAACACAAGCAGCTGGTCCAGATGTTCCATGACCGGTGGAGCTGGCTGAAGTCCTCACATCTTTGATATGTCACTCTCTCGGTGCTCTGTGTGCACCTGTCTAAAAACCTACTAAGTAGTACTGCTATGCAAACAGTTAGCAACAACAGCCACAAATGGGCCATTCCCATCTGTACCGGGTAGCTCCGGTCGGCCCCAGCCTGGCCCGGTTGATTCCACACATCCTTGCCTTAAGCCCATGTGGGCTGATTCTACCCACCAATCAGAGGCTTGCTCTAATGGAAGGTGTGAATTTGCTGTCAGCAGTGGGTGTGTTGGCCCTGGTCGGCCTGAAGCAGACCCCCTCGAGAAGAGAGCTGAGAATGAGCCTTGGTTGGCCCGGAAAAATACCAGGCCACCCAGATATGTAAACAACCTACGCTACCCGGCCCGGGCCGACCCGGTACAGATGGGAATGGCCCTAATGACTACGGTCTGTGGCCCTACACCTTTCATGGAGTGCTTGGAGAGACTACTGCTGAAACACATTAACAGAGGATTCCATTCCCACCACCCTCCCTTTGTGAAGCCCTGGTGGACTAAAGCTCTGCATTCAACACTAGTCTCCTAAGCAGACTGACCCAGGCCTCCAACACAACACATGCCTCTGGACACTTTTGAATAAATCGACCAGTCTGTTAGGATAGGTCCCCACCACTCCTCTTCCATATCTCTCGGGACTGGAGTTCCACAAGGCTCTGTCCTGAGCCCTTTCCTGAAGTAACCTTTTCCTGTAAGGATATACATTTAGATCTGCAGGGTCCAGTCCATCACTAGTTGTTGTCCAGGTGGCTCTCTAGTCCTTGTTCTTTTATTCCCAGCGGAGGGGTGATCAATACACACTTGAACTTTGACACATTTACACTCCAGTGCAATAACGACTGTGATTAAGCATCTTCAATTAATCTGATTCGTAAAGCAAAAAGTAGAGAAATTGCACAGAAATCAGAGGCCTTCACCCTTGAACCCACCACTGGTATGGTCATCAAAAAGTCACTTAAACTTCCACACACATTTGTCTTTTGACACTGTACGCTTGGCCCCTCCCACTTAGCGGTCTCAACTGAGAAAATACCTAATAATGCACACCTGCCTGCCAAACTAACCATCTTTTTAAGCTTCTTCTGTCTACCAGACTATGTTTGTGAGATGTTTAATTTAGATCTTGTTTCAGGATATTTCTTCTTCCTACCTTCTCTATTAGAGTTGTCTTTAAGTGAGTGAAATGACAACTTTATTGTATATCTGTAGTCCTGTACAAGAAAAATGAAAGAATCTTGAATCTTAAACCGGTTACCAAGGAAAGGAAACAGGAAGGAAGAAGAAAAGCTGAGGTGTTTGGTCCTCTCTAAAGTCGTGTTGTTCTCTGTGTCCATAACCCCTCAGCTATTCAGCACTAGACTGATTCACAGAAGAGGGATGTGTAACAAAATAAACATGAGAATGTGTTCAGCATTCCTGATTGAACAAACAACTTTAGCTGTAAATGGTCGATTTAAGTGGTTACCTATAAAATAACATGTTTTTGTTGCTCATCTGCTGTTGAAAATATGGAAAAAAGCATCACATTTCCCCTGATCCCTTTCTAGTAAATGGTACACTCCGGTAGAATTCCATAGGGGTGGCTGTTTAGTTCTTCTATAAACTGTGATTCGTTTTGTAATGAGCATGTTTCTGCACCCTTCTCATGTTAAATCTGAAGCGGAGGAAAAAGCAGGGACGAATTACGTGGTTTTCAAAGCTATGAGTTACAAGACACAGTGTGCGGCCGGGACAAACTTCTTAATAAAGGTAAGGAATGGTAAAAGTTGGAGCACGTTTGGGAGAATTGACTACATATGTGAAATATTTCTCTTCTAATGCCATAATAAGTATTTAAAATGAACAATGGAAAAGTGCTACAATTCCAAAACAAACAATGAATTCCTTCTTCGAAATAAGCAGTGTTACAGAAAGATCATTTTAGAATTTAAAGACAAAGTAGACTATAAGTGTAATATTAAAATAAATACACAAGCCTAGGTGAGCTGCAACCCTGTGTGTTTCAATCTGCTCAAACTGAGCACCTCAAAGCAAAATACTGTTTGGCCAGTAGGTGGCAGTAACACGACAGGCATCAAATTAAATATGGTGTTTAATACAACATAACTCTAGTAAAAAAAAGAATAAACACACTTTACAGAATAATTCCACTTTATGTTAAACAAACAGTGAGTTAATGAGGAAGTGACAGAGAGAGTGGACATGAGATCCAGCACCTACTAGCATGCTAGCTAGTTTTCAGTGTCAGGGGCAGAAACATGAATACGTAGATGCTGCAGAGCGTAACAGCGTCGCCGCCATATTGGATGGGTCTTCTCACACTCAAACGTCGACGCAAACAGAGCAATATACCCTATTTTGTTGTTTATTAGCTGTTAGATTTTTTTAAATTCTCTTTAAGTCAGAGAGTGCGGCTCCCCAGCCCTCCCTATGGACGAGCCGTCACTGCATCCTTATCAGAACTGGGATGACCCTTTCCACCATTTCTTTTCTTGTGCAGAAGTTTTCTGGGATCACATAGATAGATGAAAAATATTTGTGTCTATCAGACAGGCCAAAACTTCAGAAAAATGTGTTAGAATTAAGATCATGGATTATTTTTTATTAATCAGTTACTAATTGATTTACAAATTCAATTAATGTGATTTCAGATCGATAGGAGATGATCATGCTCACCTCTGTGTTTTGGAAAAACTTCCTTGTTATGGAGGAGATTTTCAGCTTTCCAACATTCAGCAGTTCAAGACTCAAGCAGACCCTATCGAGTACTTCTGAAAAGGTCACAGTCCAGCATGAAGACACAGAATCAATAATCTTTAACGATTTTAAGACCAGAGTACTTTAATTTCTTAAAAATTACCATAAAACACATGTAGAAAGTATTCTGAATCTAGCATAAAACCCTTCAAAATGTGTGTTTAGAAGTCACCACTTACTTTTAATGACTTGAATAAAAAAACAAAAACACTCCAGATGAACTAACCACTGTAGGCTGTTGGTGGTTAGTCATATGTGTCTCATCTTGTGATGAATGCTTTTGTTTTTCCTCCCTCAGTTATGTTCCTATAGTAACCTGAAATGCTGACTTTTGCATTTATAGTCTGCTTTCTTAAGCATAATTCCACTATTTTATCCCTCAAGTTTGTCTCCTTACTGGATGTTATGCTTCTGAAGACAAATTAAAATCATTGGATCAATGGAACCATTGAAAACAGGTCTGAGTTGGTTTGTATGATTGGATGAGGAGAAACTATATAACAAGAGAATTTTTTTAAGTGGCAAAAGTCAGAGGTGAAAGCTTCAGGTTTTAACTGTCAGGTGATTGTTTTTGCTTTGGCAGCTTGTTTCTACAAGCTGCCTTCCAACAACCATTAGAATCATATTTGAGTACCTATTAACTTATTTTTAATCACAAGTTAAGGAAGATAAAATATATATGACACTTTATTGGTGCCTTTATGGAAAAAGACAATTCTAACAATTTTTACTTCAATATGACTTAATTCTTTAATTTCCCTCACTGACCCAAATGTACCATCATCACTAATTCTAAATTAATTTAGTCAAACTAACCATTTTTTCTTCTAGCTGACTGAAATCTATGACAGTGTTTTTTTTTTCTTCAAAACATATAATTTTACAGTTACTCATTTGACTTGAGGAAAAAACCAAGAAGGAGAATACAATTCAAACAATTATTTTAAATCCATGTAAACATAAACCAAGCCCAAGTTTGAGAAGCGTTTTTATTTATTTATTGCTGAATAAATCTGACTAACAGGAAAACAGGGAAGAAAGTTTGTGGAGCAGTTGAGTTAGCTCATGACTCATCCCCATCCCCATTCCAGTCACCAGTTTAACTTCCCATCAGCATTCAGCTGCCATTCCGTAGAACACTTCCTCGCCTCAGATTGATTGAAAAGACTGAGATGAGGACCTGTGTTAAAATATGAATTTTCTGTAATTTAAAAGAAAAATTATAGTGAAATATACATTTTATGGAAGGAGATATTTGTCTTAGTTTGAACGTGTACACGTGTTTATTTCTGTCAGTTTTGACGTAAGTATCGCCCAAACACCCCTTCTTTCAGAAGCAGATGGTACGTTCCAAACATCAACATCATGTGACTCTGACTCAACTTAAAGCCTTCACACAGCCAAACACGGAACCTCTTTTTGCCCATTTCTCTACTATTCGCTTGACACTCACATCGTTTTCACTATGCCGATGTGTGGAGGAACCTCCGAGGCAAAGCCTGCAGATGCAGCCGTTCAGGAAATCTGCGACAAAGTAAGTAAAATGGGATATTTTATTAACCTACACTTATTTTGAACGCACCCTGGTCCTCGCTGTTTTACCTAATTTTTCACCTCACTTTTTTCAGATGAAACCTCATGTGGAGCAAAAAGCTGGACAGAATTTTGGCCTTTTTACTGCTAAGAGCTACAAAACGCAGGTTGTGGCCGGGACCAACTACTTTATAAAGGTAATAGTTGTTTAAAATCACAGAGCTCAACAGTAAAGCACAGAGTTCATAAAGTTATAGCTGTAAAAAGTTTTTCTTGTGCACAGATTTGGGGCTCTTCTTGGTGTTAAATTTCCATAATTAGTTTCCATAATTATGAGTCATCGTAGTTTGACAGAAATAGTTAAGATATCCATTACATATCAGGTATAAATCAGCCATTGTTTATTGGATGATCACATTTAAAGTCACTGCAGCCCACTACAACTTCCCTGATCTTTATTCTGATGGTCCTTGATGATATTCTGCTATAGTCAGTCTCAGCTTTTATGGAATCAACTCAATCTGCAGCAGGACTTAGTTCTTTATATCCAGGTCTCAGAGGATCTGCCACAAACTGGTGGTGCAGAGCCATCTAGAATCTGCAGCACATGGAAAACTCACTGGGATTACTGCTGAAGGTTATATTTTAGTTTTCTTAGCTTAACTGACAGCAGGCAAAGTGATCCCAGTTTGAAAAATCTGCGAGAATTTCTCATCAAGATACTAACTAAAATACTTAAATGTAAATGTCTGCTATCAAAACAACTCTTAAGAGGTTTGAATGAATATTTTTCTTTTACCTCTCATCACCTTTTACTTGAGGAAGTTGTTGATGCTCATTATTTTGAATAAGTGTTGCAACATATAACTGAAGCTCCTGTGTGTATCCTGTCTCTAACCTGCTCCAACTTGTAGTTCCACCTGTCCAAACTAAGATCAGACAGGCAGCATGAATGTGTAAACATAAGATGCATAGACATAACTGGCTGAGAGATGGAAAATGTTCATGCTGTGTAACGGTGTGAATGTTTTTTTTAATGCAAAAATAAAATGGAATTTCTTTTTCCCATGTTTTAAAAAGTACTTCATATTGCAAACGCTTCAAATGCCATCTGACAAGGTTTGTCCTTTCAGGTTCATGTTGGAGGCAATGAGAACGTTCACATCCGTGTCTATCAAAAACTCCCGTGTTATGGAGGAGAATTGGAGCTGACCAGTGTTCAGACCTCCAAGAGCCACAACGACCCAATTGAATACTTCTAAGAGGATCAGCACCCAAGTGAAGCTCCAGTGCCTCCAACCCTCTGCAGTCTCATTATGATCATTATAAACCAACAGTCCTGTTCCTCATACTCTGACCTTAAATAAAGTTAAACCCTGATGGAGAATGGTTTATATGGAGCTGTTTTGTACAAGAAAGATGAATAAAAAAGGGAAGTTTGTAATTTATTTGCCTTTTGCCTGTTATTCGAAACAACTCGAGGCTTGAAAGTTGGCACTCATCCATAAAAAACAACTTGCTTGTCAACAAAGAGAAAATTATCAAAATGTCATGGTGGAAACAAGAGTTGCCATATTAATCCACTAGTGACTAAAAATAATCAGAATAAATGCTAGGATCCATGAAGAAAAAGGAATTTTACCACAATTGTTGCTAAAAGTAACCATAAAGCATATTTGTCACAATAAGTGCATCTTTACACCAGTTCTTAACACTTAATGCAGAACACCCACGCAGCTTGCACATTGCCAAAAGCCCTTTGGTGGTTTTGGAAGAAATAAAGCTTTCAACAGGGTTTAAATGACAACATGAATAATACATATTTACACATAAATAAAAAAAATCACACCTTGCTTCTTGCTGACTTCATGTCTATAATATTACAGCAGATTAATATAATAAATCTTAGGTATAATTAGCAGTGAGCAGAGAAACCTGTCACACCTTAAGGAGACATGGGAGTGTCACATACTTACACTCTGAGTTTGTGTAAGAGCCACGGGAGCTATCGCTGAGCTAGGTCAACATATGCTCACCCTTTACACAGAATATAACAAAATGTAAAGGAGGGAAAAAATGAACCGTGTTCATGTCTGAGTAATGAAGGGTGGATGCTCTGCTCTCTGACAGCCCACTGAGTGATGATTGTTTACACACAGGGGCGGGTAATACGTTAATCTCTGGACTGAACAGGGCTAAAGACAGGTATGTGTGTGTGTGTGTGTGTGTGTGTGTGTGTGTGGGGGGGGGGGGGGGGTCGTCACACACTTTCACTCCCTTATGAGCTTGTGTAAGAACCATAAACACTGCAGTAAGAGGCCCCTAAGCTACGTGTATGCCAACATGTCCCATCCTTTACTCAGGACACGATGACAACACTGGATTTTCTGCATTTTTACCCCCAATTTTTAAAACATGGTGACTACAACGACGATGGATTGACAAGCTAGTTTGTTTCAGTCACTTCATCCATTTTTCATCAGATTTAGTCTTTTTTTTAATGACATGTGACTTAAACACATAAAGAGTTCAGATGGGACTTTGTTTAGAAATAATAAAAACAAATCCCACATCCTTTGAAATCTGTTGAACCCCTCAAACAACAAACACCTTCACGTCTAGGATCAGCGATAATATTTATGCCATAAAACATCAGTTGTTTTGATAAATCCACATTTAAAGGTGCATGAAGTAAGGATGACATACCTCAGGTTTACAACTTCTACAAAATTCAGCAGCTCGTGTCCTGACGAAGACCAGGAGGCAGGAGCACATTACACCTGCCTTAAACAAGCTGCATTGGCTTCCTGTATGTTTCAGGATCGATTTTTAAGGTTATTTTAATGGTTTTTAAATGTCTTAATGGTCTTGGGCCTTCTTATCTCTCAGAACTGCTTCATAGATATGAGCCTTCACGGTCCCTGCGCTCCTCTGGCAACCATTTCCTCGTCATTCCAAAAGTCAGGACACACTCCCAAGGCGAGGCATCCTTCCAGTTTTATGGCCCTCACCTCTGGAACAGTCTGCCAGAGGACCTCAGGGCCGTAGAGAGTGTTCTTGTTTTTAAGGCCAGGCTCAAGACTCACCATTTTAGTATAGTTTTTAGTTTATTTTGATCTATTTTAGCCAGTTTTACCATTTTTATATATTTTATCAGTGTTTTATTACTTACTCTTTTACTTAAATGACACATAATTTCTTATATATTAATTTTAACTTGTAATAATCATTAGTTTTAACCAGTATTAATAATCTGTTGTACAATATTTGTGTATATTTAATTAAATGTTTCTACTTGGTTATCTTTTATCACAGTTTTATTTAGATTTTTATTTATCAGCTGTTTATGTTTAATTTGATCCTTAACTTGTCTTAATCTCATTAGTGAACTGGTGTTTCCTCTGTGGGGGCTGGCTGCCCAGGGGGCAGCGGTGGGCTGTGGCTGCCTGGTGCTTCCCGTGCCTCCTCTTGCCCGGGCTGCTGCTGCAGATCCTGCTACTCCCGGTGCAGATGGCTCCTTTGATGGCGTTCCCGTCTTCTTTGTACCTATTACACCTGCGCTCAGCAGCAGCCCTTTCTCTTGTGTGTGTGTGTGTGTGTGTGTGTGTGTGTGTGTGTGTGTGTGCTTGGGATGGGATGGGATTGAGGGTGGGAGGAGGGAGATACAAAGGGGATCTATGTGAATCTGTGTGGGAGGGGTGGGAAACCGACTGCTGTCTGGTTGTTTTTAATATTGTAAAGCGCTTTGAGCTGCACTTGTATTAAAAGCACTTCATGAATAAATTTGATTGATTGACATCTTGTGATCCAATTTGGGGACTGCAGTCCATGTATCAAATCAAACAACTCTGCTCTTAATAATTGTTGCCAGCTACGGATCAGCACCAGAAGATTCTAGATGATGAGCAAAGGTGGGTAATACGCAGTAAGTTGATGAGTAGATAAATACATGTCACTGTAATGTAAATATACATAAGATAATATAAAGTTGGTAAATGGAAATGCTATGCAACTTTTTCATATTTTTAAATATTTCCATTTCAGCGTCAGCCTGAGGAAGTCTCCAGCCGCAGGCGAAATGTAGCGAAAAAACAGGTAACGAAACCGTTTCTGTGTTTTAAAAAAGAACGATAGCATGGAATTAGAAACAAGACACAGCAAGAACACACCTAAGAGCGTGAAGACCGATTTGTGATTATTTCACTGAACAATTCTTACTTACTGTACCTTTAAAGTTGAGGTGTGGATTTTATGAAGGTCAATGTGAAAAATAAAGGTTAAAAAAAATTTGAAAAGTTACGAAACTTACAAAAAATACTTCATCATTTAAAACTTCCAGTACTCTTTATTTATTGCTGAAAGAATATACAATCATAGTCAGAAAAATGAGATGTCGTTGGTGAACCTGTGTGACTTATTTCTGAACAAGCCCACTGAATTTACATTAGCTATAAGGTCTGATGGGTTCAAGAGGATCTTCGTTTTTGTGACGTTCTACTCTCTTCAGCTTGGTGTCAGCTTTACCCTCCAGCAGAGGCCCTTGGAAGACGTACATATGAAGGAAATCACTTCCTCCCACATGAACCTGCAGGGGGAGGAGAGAGTTACTGCACCTTTAATATTAAGCGTTTGTAAGAGTCAGATAACCACATGATCTGTGCGTGCTTCATGTGACTATGACGTCATATAAAATCAGTCGTCTTTACCTTGATGAGGTAGTTAACACCTGCCACAATCTGAACCCTGTATTCCACTGCTTTGAACTCTAAATACGTCTTATTTGTGTTCTCCTCTACGTTGCTCTTCACCTAAAATGCAGAACAGGACGTTTTTATGTGCAAGATTTAAAGAATAAAGTGAACCTGGCACTCACCGCATCACAGATGTTCTGAGTCTCATCAGTGGCTGGTTTAATATCCGAGTATCCTCCAAGCCTGTCGACCATTCTGAAGATTTCAGCTGCCTTTAACAGAAATAAACAATTCTATGCTGAGGTGTGTAGCAGCAGGAAGTCTCTACACGAAGATGCAGGAAACGGGCTGGAATGTGGTTCTACTACCTGGTGGGAGGAGCTTTGAGGGAACAACCACAGCATTTGCTGCTTATGTTTTACAAACTTTCACCACATTCGTATTTACAAAACAAGATGAGTTACTCGCGGTCATTGTTTTTGTATTTATAATGAAAACGCTTTAAAAGTGGGACATTTTAAAACTGCTTTCCATCTATTTAGTGTATAATGTTTAAGATCATCACAAAAGAGACGTCCGTCAGGTTCATTTAAAGAGACAATGTAGTTTTTACCATTAATTTCTGGAAATATCCATCAAAATGTTGTTGAAAATGAATGAAATGATGCCCAGTTTTAGAAAAATATTGGTGACTTTGTAACATATAACCATAAAAATCAGGTTTAAAATACATGGGAGTGGGTCTAAGGCTGTGTCCGAATCCAGAGGTAGGATGCTTGTGAGTACGGGTCCTCGCCGGTCTAGCAAGGCCTGGTCCTTGCTAGACCGCTAAAACCGGAAGTCGGCGGCTCTGAATTCGGACAGTACAAGCCTCGTTTTTATTCCCGCCCCCAGGTCAAGTTGCCTAGCTACCGTGACGGCGGCAAACAGGCTAACAAGCTAGTAGCGACGTTGAAAATGGATCCACAGCAATATTTCATTGTTTGAATGCTGTTAAGCATTCAAACTATTGTTTTCCTCTTTTCTTCTTATTCTGCTTCCGTACACTTTTTGAACCTCTTCTTCTCCTTCAAATTTTGAGCTATTTCAACAATTTTATATCAAAACGTTCAGCTCGTTAAGCTCTTTCCGGCTATTACTTTTGGCATTGATATCTTTAAAATTTTTCGAGTTATTAAGCTTTTTCTGCGAAAATTTTCCCATTGAAATGAATGGGATTGGTCAATTTTCAGCAAATTCCTATCACTTTTTTGACCTAAAACTCTATTGGGTTCCTTTTAACTTAGAGACTTCATTCAAAGTTTAACAAACTCACAAGACTTTCCTGTTTAACATATTAAAGAGGCATTTTTGAATATCTTTTATGGTTTTTGTAAAATTGCAGGTAGAAGTTGAGGTACGACTTGAAATTTTCAGAAAAATTCACAAAAGTTATAATGGGGAAAGATAGGAGCAGTGACCCTCCCTTGCTCCATTTCTGGCGTTGTCCCGAGAGAACCGTAGGTCAGATTGAAATGAGACACATGCTGGCTTACATCTAACGAATATACCTTCGTTTTGAGCTATAATTCATGACTGTACTCCAAACACTGTGGTCGTAAGGTTCATTTGTTTGAGAAAATTCAAATAAAAAAAATGTCTCTCCCCACTCTAAACTGAAAGTTCCGCACTCTAACTTTTGAACTTCACATCTTCTGTGAACAACTCTTTACTACCCCCAGACCGTTTGGACTACCAAAACAAATTATAACTCAAAAATTAGGAATTTTTGTCAGCTTTTCAGAATGGGTTTCATTTTTTCTGTAAGTGTTACCGTTCTTTCGCTACAAGCCTCAGATGGAGGAGAGACCCAGATTCTGCCTCATTGAAACCCATGTTAAAGGAACAGAGATTTTCTCCTCAGTTCGGCTTCAGGCAGCTAAAAGTTTCTCGTCATAGCTTCAGGACAATTCACGGTAGGCACATAAAACTCCACACAGATGACCAACAAAGCCTTCTGCCGCTCATGCTTTTTGAAATTTTCAATTCGGTGCAGTACTTTTCGAATGGTGATGAGAAGTTTGACAGGTCCAATTTCACATCTGAAGGACAGATTTAAAGGCTTCTCATTAACAGGAGTACAGCTGCAGGCCTAAAAATAGCTGGGTGAAAAGGCAGTGCTGCTGTCTGATTGGTTGAGAGTGTTCAACCATTTTCTGTCCAATCAGGATCTGGCACCCATATATATGACACATCAAATCGACCAGTTTGGTCTCAGGAATCTTGTATTCAATTTTAAATGCGTTATCTGTTACCATGGCAACACAAGGAACTACATATCCCTTTAACCAAGTCTCACAGGAATGGATATTAAAAAGCTGAACATTGAGCCAATAACAGACTCCTGTTTTTGATCTTTTTGAACTATCTGTACTTAAAACTAGAAACAAGTTCAATCTGATTGACCGTCAGAAGGTGGGAAAGTGCCCCGCTCCCACCTAGTCCCCTGATTGGTTGAGAAAGGTCAATCATCTTCTGGCTAAATGGAATTACACACCCATACGTGTGAGACATCTAATCGATCGGCTAGGCCTAAGGAATCCATCCATCCAACCAACCAACCAACCAACCAACTAACCAACCAGCTCTATACACTTAAAATCAGTGTTGGGCAAGTTACTTCAAAACTGTAATGCATTATTTATTACTTGTTACCCTCATTTAAAAGTAATTCATTACATTACAAGATCACTGATTTTAAAATGTAAGGCATTACACTACTTTTGCATTACTTTAAGTTACTTTCACCAAAACAACTTCAGTATGAATCTGGTAATCTGACGCTCAGTGAGCTCATGACATATATGTGGAAAGTGGTGTGGTGTCTGAGCTAGGACTGCTGTTAAAAACAGTTCTTTAAAATGATTGTTTATTAAATAAAAGCAACAACAATCTGTACTCAGCACGCTGCCATCTTGTATTAACTGAGCAAGGAGTGAGGTGGTGGGGGATCCAAGACCATATTTGCCTTGGTCCCCAAATGCCTTGATACGGCCCTGGATGTGGGACTGACTTCTGGGGTGATCTGATTCTATCACATGTATAAATATTAAATGCTTATATATTATTGCTTTTCGCAGATAAAAATGTGTATTGGGGATAAATCTGCCTACTTTTTTCTTTTTTTCTGGATTTTATTTGAATAATTTCCTGCCCTTTCTCTCTCTAAACTTCCTGCATGCTGCATGTTTTCTCCGTCTTCCAGAAAAACTGTTTCCTAGATTTCCTACTTTCTAACTAATCAGCCAAAGGGATCTACCGAACGTCTTAGAAAATGCAAACTCCATGCAGAAAGATCCCAAATTGGTAAGCGAACCCGGGGCCTTCTTGATGCAAGGCATCAGCTCTAACCACTGCACCACTGCGAAGCCAGGTTACAAATATTTCATTTGAGCCATTCAGAACAGAACATTTCAGCTAATGAAGCTTTGAAAAATCTTAATGTTTTTAATAAACATGTTGGGAATTATAATATTATGAAGGAGAAGGAGGAGGATTTGAAGGGGATGAACCTGTATTGGTAAAGATAAAAGACTTCCTTAGTAGAAACACTAATTTCTTCCAAACACTGTTTTTTTCCTTAAAAGAATGGGAAATTTGCGCCCTCTGGCGGCCACAAACAGCAGTAAGGAATAAACAGAAGGTGGGAAATGCTGCCCTCCGGTGGCTGTTTGCTGTAAATGCACCTGTTTCATTTTAGCCATTTAGAAAAGACCGTTTCAGCCTCATTGTCTTAATGAAGCTTTAAAAAATCTTAATGTTTTTAATAAACATGTTGGGAATTATAATATTATGAAGGAGAAGGAGGAGGATTTGAAGGGGATGAACCTGTATTGGTAAAGATAAAAGACTTCCTTAGTAGAAACACTAATTTCTTCCAAACACTGTTCTTTTCCTTAAAAGAATGGGAAATTTGCGCCCTCTGGCGGCCACAAACAGCAGTAAGGTATAACGAGAAGGTGGGAAAATGCTGCCCTCTGGTGGCTGTTTGCTGTAAATGCACCTATTTCATTTTAGCCATTTAGAATAGATCGTTTCAGCCTCCTTTTCTTAATGAAGCTTTAAAAAAGTCTTAAGAAAAGTCTTTGAAAATGCAAACTCCTCACACGAATACCCCAAGCCAAGAGGCGAACCCAGGACCTTCTTGATGTAAGGCAACAGCTCTAACCATTACACCATTTGGATCATTGTAGACAGCTATGTAAGGCGTGATGCCGAGAGAGCTGCAGAGACCGTCGGAGACAACCTTGGCCTCCCTGACGTCTGTGTCTCCTGGTTCGGTTGGGGCGGACTGAGGTGGAAAGACCTTCTCCCCTTTTTTCACTCCCTGCATGGAAGAGCAGATCCTCATGTCCTCTTCATCCACTGCGGCGGCAATGACATGGGGGTGGTCAGCAGTGTGAAGCTGGTGAACATGATGAAGGAGGACCTGCACGGGCTTCACCGTCTCCACCCATATATGACCATCATCATGTCGTCCATCACCCAAAGGCGTAGATGGAGGGCAGGTGTAAAACCTGCCAAAATTGAGTAGGCCTCGAGGTTCGTCAGTCCCATGCTTTCGTTCTTTTTAAACACAGAAACAGTTTTGTTTACCTGTTTTGTAGCTACAGTTTCGCCGACGGCTGCCGGCGAAACTGTAGCTACAAAACAGGTTCGTCAGTGTATTGGCTACTTTTATTTGTAGTTTAAATGGTGCAGTTGTGCATTCTCACATCAGACATGACAGTCCAGGGATATTTTTGTCAGACAGAGTTCATTTCACAAATAGGGGAAATGATATATTTTTAACTAATATTGCCGATTGTCTTAAAGGCCAGCTCCAAAAGCAGTGAAAGACTTCCAGGTGGGAGTCTCGCTGCTTTTGAATTTGGCCTTAATGACAGATTTATTTTCAGGCAAACAGGATAAACATATCCCTGATTGTTCTAGCTAATGTGTTGATGATGTAATTTATCTGTAGCCATTACACTGTTGAACTGTTCTTCCTTCAAACCACAATGTTGCACTCACTCTGCAGCTCTCTGGGCCCAGTTTATTATTAAGTTTTTTTTTATGTGCCGACACTTTGTGCCCTGTTTTATAAAATGTAGTGTTAAAAATAAACGTTTTTGCTCAATTACTGGAATTTCTTTGGTTAAGACAAAAGTGAGGAATAATCATTTACAAGTTATTTGTACAACAGGCCCATTTTAAATCCCAACAGTTTCTTAGCAGACAATAGAAATGTCTTCTTTACTAACTTTACTTGGTTTAAAAATCTTACTAAAATAAACAGAGTGCCGTATTGCAAAACCCAATCGTACTTGTTATGTAAACATTAGCTTTGTAGATATTTTTTTACAG